ACATGGCCGGTAATCTCGGAACAAACGTCTGTAACCGAGTTTAGTTAGAGCCCCTGCCGCCGGTCGCGCTTGTTTTTTTTTTTTTTTTTTTTTTCACTTTGAAATCGAATTGACATATGACAGATACTTAAATTAAACATGGCGTCCATTGTAATAAATTTTCATGGAGAGATAACCTAGACAATATAATAAATGCTTGTTAGAGTAAAAAACAATAAGCTGTCGAAGTGCATTGTTTAACGAAGAAGAAATACCAAGAAAAATGCATGTATTATGTAGTTCCAGCGAGAAACGACGAAGTAAAAGTAAAATAAGTAATAATATTTGCCGGCTTTCAATCTAAGTGAGTACTTTTATAATATGCATACTTCGAATTACTTTCATTTGATGTACTATTCTGATATGATTTTTCATTACAGTTTAATAATTCAGAAATAATTGAGACATTTAACTATATCAATACTAGAAATTTTAAGGTTATAAATAGACAGAGAGAATTCCTGTCAGCTCTCTGAAAGGTATGTTATTAAATAACTAAATATAAATTAATCTTGTTCTAATAATGTAGGATCATAACTAATAATTCTACATCGATTTTTTTCAGCAGTATAAAAGGAAAATACGTTCAAATGTAAAATGTTTAGACGGTTTACTAAACACATTCACAAGTGTACAGTATTGATATGAGATGAATGAATACACAGGAAAAAACAATAAGAATGAAGTCTGAAATGTGCTGAAATCTTTGCTGATCTCCCACTAATATTGAACAGTACGACTCGTAATTATATATTAAGTCAGTTTGGAGAACATACTAAAAACACTAATGATATAATCGTAAGTGAAAGGAAATTCTCAATTAATGGTGAAATTCTAGCTAGTGCAAAGGTTAATTTAGGTTTGGCTATGTCACAGGAAAGGTTTTTAAGTATTAATAATTTCATTTTGATATTACAAGAAATATTATTATCTGTGTTGTTTAATGATGATAAAGGGAATCACATTGTATAGATTTCAGGAACTGTCAAATGACAGGCAAAGTATAATCATGATTAATGATAAAATTCTAAAAAGCAAAGGGAATAAAACACCCTTAATGTGCACTTGCTTATTGCATTTGACTATTCTGAAAGAGATGTCAATAGCTTTACTCTAAAAGTCTTATTGTAGATGCTATAAGAAACTATTAAGTACTGTTATAATAATATCAATGATTGTTGTTTCTTTAAGACAATGATAATAATGACATTTTGAACAAACATTTGAATGCACATTAACAATAGCGCAGAAAAGATCCCAAATAGAGACTGTACATCATAGATATTATGTAACTTAATGTTAATCAAAATAAATATATATGTAAATATATATATTATATATATATATATATATATATATATATATTGGTTATATATTGATCTGAATCAATATCAATCAAGAATTGTGGTTATATGTATATGTATATATATAAATAATATATACATTCATGTACATTTCTATTCTTTTTGTGCTCAGCTTTGAAAGGCTGATATGCTAAAATGATATTACACACACACATATATATATATATATATGTATATATATATATATGTATATATATATATATATTATATATATATATATATATATATATATATTTGTATATATATATATACATTGTGGATAGCGTGTACATTTAAGTACATTTTTATGCTTTTCGCACATAGTTTTTACAGCTTACTACCATCTATTAATTCATATATAATGTTATATATATATATATATATATATATATATATATATATATATATATATACATTGTGGATAATGTTTATATTTATGTACATTTTTATGCTATGTGTGCTTTGTTTATAAAGAGAACTATGTAGATATAATGTAGAATGTTTTTGTGAAAAATAATGCTTCAAAATTTTTTTTTTTTTCAATTTTCTTTTTTTAAATTTTGAATTAAAACGGTCCATATAATTTTGGTTCATTTCTATAGTATTTTTTATACGCACCCGTTCAGGCGACTAGTGCCATCTGTAGCGCGGGGCTTCAAACTAACACAGGAATGTGGCAACGAAATATGGCCCGAGAGAGCGATCTATATACTCTTCTTTTTCTATGGTCTTTATTCTTTAAATTAACTGTGAATGACAGCTTTTAAATGTCAACAGGTTTCCATAGCAAGCCGCTTGACTATAATGGCGCTGTTGCTGTTTTGATAATTTTGAATTTAACGCGGGAAAATACTTGTTTGATAAATTAAAATTTTTATCTAACTTATCGGCAAAGGCAAATTGCTGGAACTTTTCGTACTGTAATCTAAAATTTTCGAAAGCTTTAGTTAGAACATATGATTTCTGAGAATTTTGAGTTTTTAAAAAAATTGACTTCTTTGAAAACTTTGCTTTTTGTCTTTTAAATTTTACCAGGAAATAATAATTTTAATTCCTCATAAAATTAGAGTAGGTACAAGTTTGTTATAAATAAACCACACCACAATTCCCATTATTATTTATTGCATGCACAAATAAAATTAACAATAATATATATTATTAATATTGGACTTTTCAGTTATTATCTTCAGATAGATTATAATTATCTTGTCCTGGTTAATAGTCCTCAACTTCATAGTCATAAGTAAATTTCATCAGGTCGATTTATTATATCGTGCCTGCATCTCATACCTTTTCTAGCACAGATATCTAAAAATAATACATTATACATATATATCATTGCACATATTAATAGGAAATTTATTACAAAGGATAGGAACTGAATAAGTTTAATTAATAATGTATTGTTACTGTCACGCTAATAGGAAATTTCTTACTATTGTTAGGTTTATAATATGTATGTGTGTTAACCCTTAAAAACCATGTATTTTTTAATCTTAGAACATACTTCATAAAATTGGTCAATATATTTTATTTATTTTACTTTGTATTCGAAATTTATTTAAAAAAATTAATTTCCACACTCACGGGAAATTTTATTAAATTTTTACGTTACGTCAAAAACACCTGAACGTTGTTTTGTGATTTAGAAACGTAACAATGACGTAATACGTAAATCGTTACGTATTTGTTACGGAAATAAAAATGTTTGTGTGCCTTCTAGGTTACGTAACCGCTATGTTTGACGTAACATCTGTTACGCAACAGTAACGTTTTAATTACGTTTTGTGGTTTACTGGGCTAGGATGTTGAAAATTAAATTCACAAACGAGTAAACAAAAATTTTAGAAACTGCTCCAATTTTAAAAGATTAAATCGAATTTCCACTTATAGTAATAAAAATTTTTGAGAAGATTGTTTTGTACACTCCTTTTTAGTTACTTTAGCAAAAACCATTTCAAATTCACTTTGATTCCATATAAACTTCTTAAACACTTTTTTAAGAAAATTTTAAATATAATTTTTGTTTGACTGGCCAGCGAGTAAATATTTAACACGTGGACTCGGAATTCTGCATTTCTTTAGTTAACTCTAAACTTTGTTTTTGGCACTAGTTAGTTTGGCATAAAGTATATATACATTTCACTACGATTTTATATAAACTTCTTATACACTTTTTTAAATACCATTAGTTTGATTTGCCCGTGAGCAAATATTCAATATTTGTATTCGGGACATTTTTCTGCATTTTTTTAATTAAGCGGAGAACTTCATTCCGTACATTCTTTTTCAGTTAGCTTATCAGATTTTATCTAAATTGTCTTACAAATTTTATGAAAAATTTAATACAACATTGACGTACCCGGGTATTTTTTACAAAAAGAGCATAAACGCCTATTGTCGACATCACCACCTGGAAGTAAATAGTAAAAAAATTATAGTAAAACAAATGTCAATTTGTTTAGAGAAGAATATGAATTGCTACTCATTCTAATAACAATTTGTGATCTTAAAACTAAAACTAGCTTCCAAGTGGTTCGGACCAAATAAATTTGAATAGTCACCTGAGTTTCCTTCTAACAGGCTCTTACAGACAGGACAATCAATAAACTTATAATCGCCAGCCATATAATCTGAAAATAAAGTTTTAGACTTACAATAGTATTATATAATTGTAACTTAAATAAATTTGGATAGTCACCTGAGTCTTCTTCTAATCGACCTTGTTTTCCTCTACAGGTCGGACAATCAATAAACCTATAATCGCCAGCCATGTAATCTGAAAATAAAGTTTTTGACTTACAACAGATCGAAACTAGTGGTGTATGGCATCGTGTCTTAAAGAAAATTGCTGGAACTTCCCGTACCGTAATGAAATATTCGAGAAATTTTAAACGTTTTTAAATATATTACTACAAATACTTTAACTTTCATTATTTTTGCTATCTTGTTATATCTGACTAAATCAAATGTAAATCATAAATCAATTTATCTCCAGAACATTATCAATCGTCATTTCATTTCGAATTCAATTTAAAAAAAAAATAGTTGCCTAATTTACACAAAATTGAAAAAGTGCTCCGATATAGTCACAGTCTAAACGCATTTGCAAATAATTCTGTGCGACATTTTTACTCATACTGTGCTTAGCTTGGCGTCATTTTCACATTTTTCAATAGTTTTAACAAAATTGGAAAAGTTCTCCAGTACATAAACAGTCTAAACGCACTTGGGTAAACATTTGTACCAGAGTGGCGCTTAGACTGTGCTTAGCCTGGGTAATTTTTTGAATTCTTAATCCAAAATTACCAAAATATTTTATGGAAAACAAAAAAAAGATGTAATAATTTTTTATCCTCAAAAGCAATTGTTTTGTCAATACAAGCAGAAAGTTTTTTAGATTATTCATATCGGACGTTTAAAAACTGCCATTTTTTGCACATTTAGCTCTGTATCTTCGAAATGGCGGGACCTGTCTTTGCCAAAAACTAATCACCTCTTCTCTCAATCATTACAAATTGAATGTTTTTTAGATCATTTAAATCCAATACTCCGTTCTCTCATAAACTCGATTTGTATTTTCTGCACTCTTTGCCTTGTATCTCCATAACGGCCGGACCTGCCTTTGCCAAAAACTACTCAGCACATCTCCTTATCAATAGGGATCGAATGTTTTTTAAATCATTCAAATCGGTAGATCCGTGCGCCCGAAAACGTGGACGAAAGAATGCGGACACACACGCACATACACACACAAACACATCCATTTTTTCTGAGGTATGCCAAAATGTTCAGAAACCTTCAAAACGTCGAGAAATACAAAAATTTTCATTTTTGATTTTCGGCCAATTACTATAACTACCCTACGGGAAGTTAACTAGTGGTGTATTAAATAATAGTAAATTTATGGAAAAAATTAAAGTGCTGAGAAATACATAATGGAAATAGATTTGTTATTTTAGTTTAAAAAAGTAGTTAAAACAAGAAACCAGTTTTTGAAATAAATAAAAGAAACCTGGATCGTCACGTGTGAGACGTCTATGCATCCAAGGTTTATCGAATTTCCCGAAGCCAATAAAAGCACGTCCATCGCGATCTGAAAGCAAACAAAGACCTTTTAAGTCATATTTTTTAATTTGAAAAATAAATGAAATATAATTTGTTAAACTATTAAAATACAGTAAACTCAATATTTTCTCTTATAAATTATACCATTTCGTTCATTTTTTTGATGAACCTTTATGATGACTCCTTGCACATTGTCTCCACCTGCAAATAAAATATAAGTGATCA